CATCTTCCCCCGAACTCCAAATGTATTCGAGCTCTGTCAACTAACTGTACTGAAGTCCATCTCTAAATGATTTCCAGCTCTTGCATTCGGCAAAAATCTGCTTTTCTGGATGGCTAATCAATGATGAAAATAACCTCTGCTGGTTTATCAAAGGCTTTTTCCATCATCACTAGGATCCATAAATACATGAACCCCCCTATTATCATAATGGATTCACATGGCGACAATCTTATAACTAGTATGACTTGCTGGTTTGTCAATAGTTAAGCGGTTGACATAAAACCTCAGTCGAATGTGCTTCATCATTGGAAATTTGTACTTGCTCATCTCCATTATAGTAGAAAAAACCGTTCTCGTATTCTACTATAGCGCATTCTGGTGAAAATTAGCAAACTTGGTTGCTCTGGCTCCTCAATGTAATGGCCCGTTGATCTTTTACAAGTCAGTATGTTATATGCCGGCAAATGTGGATGTTTCGGTTCATTTGTTTCTATTATTTTTTAATTTTGAAATGAATCCTCCCACCCGTTATTTGCAATCATATTAACGCCTCTTTAAATATTCTCATACTAAGCCTTTTATTTACTACATTTCATTAAGTTGTGCATGTAAGAACTTCACCCAAATAGACTATTTAACTATTTACCAATAGCTTGCGGTACCGAGGACCACCAGAAAAGCATCTTCCTTCACCTAGGGCAGGGTTTCATCTTATTTTTAATCAAACGCTAAAAGGAATAAAACCCAATCAAATATCTTTCACGAAGTTATATGATAGAAATCCAAAAAGGCAATAGCAAAAGAGCCGAATCTACTCTCATATAAATACATATATATATATATATATATATATAAAAACTCCATAGCACAATTAATGACGTGCACACTTCAAGAATTATCATTGAACTACTTTATCGTAAACAGCAAATCGATAATTGATGTCCTTATAGTGTTTCGGATTTGAATCCACGGTACCCAATCTGAATGGAAGATGGTAAAATAGCTCAAAGGACTCACTCGATAGGTTTAAAAACATCCCAATCTATAGTGGGAAAGAAGGTATCGCAATCAAAATCTTTCATGACATGAGTGCAGTAGAGGCGAACGGGGAAAGACTTCTGTTCCAAGGCTGCTTTGTATATAAAATGACCACCACAAACAAAGACTTCATCAGCTTCTCCAGCCTTAATTAGATTTTCGGAAAGCTTCAAAGACTCTTCAAAAGATTTTACAAGGTAAACACCTTCAGGAACACTATTAAGGATAGTAAAATAAGTGAACGAAACATACGAGTCAAGTTGTGAGGAAACAATCATATTGATACGATTCGAAAGAGGCCGGAACTTAGGTGGAATTGAGAGCCAAGTTAATCGCCCCAAAATTGCGATGTTCTTCTTGCCTTCTGAAGCTGTTGAGGATATTCGATTAAAAAAATCCATATCTTCTCTAACATAAAAAAGCTAATGAGAATTATGGTTTGTTTAAAAGTCAATGCCGATAATAATATACAAAAACGGAAATTACGGGATCCTCCAAGGCAGTTTATTATTTTTTCCAATGCCACCGTTTTGAGAAACAGCGACAATTATATTTAGCCTTTCCATATCCAATTGTGAATTCCCACTTAAGTCCCCCCCTGGTTCGAATTGGCATCTCTGAGTTTATTAAACAATGACTGTCCTTTGCGATATTACAATAATTTTTAAAATAAAAAGCAAATAACTTGAAATTTTTATTTATATTAAGGCAAAATTATGTGATTTTGAAATGTTAAAGAATTTCTGCTAATTTCATTAATTACACAATGCATTTGCACCCCAAAAATTTCTTTTAACAGTTTAGTTTTCAGATTAATATTAAATCTTGTAGTATTAATCAAACTCTTTTGAATTTCTCTCTTATGTGGCGCTGGTTTATTCTTGTTTTCATAGTTTTTACTATTTACGATATATGGTTCTTATTTAAAAATATTTCAAAAATTTCGCATCCCAAGGTAATGCAAAGTAAGGCATCCTGCCGAAGTAAAAATAATCTGGTTCTTTTATGATGGGAAAAGTTGTTGTGATGATCAAAGCACAGTGCTACGAATGGTAAATGGTATATACTTTTAATAAACCACATACTGTTCATCATAGACAAGAGTCAAAAGAAAGTACGCTCAAATTTTCAAGTAAAGAAGGTTCTTTTAATGGACTGATATCAGTTGCTAAACAAAACGAGGAGCAACCTCTCCTTTTCATTGCAAAGATCTACATATATTTCTTTTTTGTTGCGTCTTTGAATGGAATAGATTTTTAACTCTACAATTAAAATGTATCCTTCTAAGTGTAATTGTGAGTATTGAGATTGAGTGGCCTCATCTTTTACCGACAGCACATTAACAGGATGATTTTATTTTTAGGTTTTAGCGCACGTGAGCACTGATGATATTATTAAACGCATGGGATATAAATGCCACTAACAAATTTAATTGAATTCTGCTTTAAAAATGGGAAACATTCCATATCTGTATTAATTACATCTTTTAACTGATTAATTGTTTTAAAATCTATTTGATAATCAAAGTTCACTATACTATTGTAAATTCAAGCACTTACTCCTGATTTGAAGAAAACATTTTTAAAACTCCATAAAAACAGAAAGGATTGGAGAAGATACTTTGCCGTTAACAATTTTTACAAACATGTGTCAATATTATGGAGTTTAAAACTATTAGCAAAATTTTGCGATCAACAAGCCTGACATTCAAGTTTTCAGATCGAGAACACGCACATATCTGCTGGGCGCAGAACTAATTGAATTACTAATTGGAATGAACCAATGGGTTAATATAATAAATATAAAGAAATGGAGAAGGCAAAAATAGAAATGTTATTTTCCATTGAAGGAATATTTTCTTCTCATTGAGATAATGTTTCTGGATTGACACCTCGAGTTTAAATTACGCCTTTGGGTTCTCATGAATGCCTGCAGTTGGTTCAAATCCCCCTCCTTCCGAGATGTTCTTTCTTTAGGTGTGCGTTCGGGTAATACATTTAAATTCAATCCGATTTTTCTTCCTAGCAGTAATGCTTTAAAACTGTTCTACTTGATATTTGAGTTCCCCTTTTCGATAAGTTTAAATTTTCGCTCCAAATTTCTACTTTTAAAGGGTAATCTTCCTTCTCTGTTCTCTTTGCTAAAACTCGATTCAAATTCAAATTTCACTTCACTAACTACAGTAGGACTTGGTTCAGGATGCTGTTTTATTATCTCCGAGTTGTCCAGTACTTTTCGTTAAGGTATCCGAGTGATCCTTTCCACTTTGGTTCACCAACTTCAATTTGTCTAATTCAGGCTAATTAGTCGCAGCACTCTGGTCGTTGTCGTTAAGCACCTTAACAGATGCGGCATTTAATTTAAATGTATTATTTAGAATTTAAAAGGAATCCCACTTGAATCGATCAATGTTGGTTATCATAAATCTCGGCTTTGACTGAAATCAGAGAAAGTTTTAATCTGGAGGGTACTTCAAGAAGGTAATGGCCGCTAATTTTTGAGATTCAAAAGGATTGATGTGATAGATGGACTTCCTAGAAGGATAGAAAACGGACACCATAAGCTATCATGAAGGCGTTTTGAAGAATTTGATGACATTCCTCTCCAAAAGAACTGCGCGCGAAGCTACACAGTTAAATTTTCTTTCAACATGTCAATGCTTCTGCGTGTTCTTCAAAATAGGGACCACTTCCACATCCCCCTTATAGTCCCGATCAGACTGTTTTGTTTCCAAAACTGCAGGGTTTCTTTGACTCACCCTAGTATCTTAAACTGCGTTTAATTTCAGTTTGACCTTTTGACAGTTGTCTGCACAGCAAAATATTCGCCTCTGTTTGCAACACTGACCCCATACGCAGAATAATCATTCAAATTATCAGCTTACTACAGAGATAGGAGTCAGATGGGATTTTCCAGGGGAGAAAAATACGTGAACTCCTTTTTGCCTGAAATATTTATAAGTTATTTCATCGAAATGTTTTCACCAAATTTGCGCTGACTCATATCACTGTCGCCCTTGATATTCGATCTTTTGGGTTTAGTAGCCTAACCACCAAGTGTGGCTTTACCTCTTTCTTCGATTATTCGAAGGATTCGACCACAGACGTCATTTGACAGAGTTGTCGGAAGCCACACAAAAATATTAGACATTCGTTATGGCTTGTCAAAATGGCAGACAAATTGGAGTGTTCTAAGCAGGTAATACCACAACAAACACAGGTCATTCCATCATGCTTTTAGAGAGATTAGGACATAAAGCATTTCCGGAACTTAGAAGTCTTTTCCTCTAAACAGTTTGGCCAGAATCAACATAATTTCGTCGGAAGTGTGGTCCGAGGTTATTTTTTTGGGGTTGACAAAACATTTTGACTTTTAGATTCACCAGTTCCTCACCCGCCTTTTTCCTCCTTCGAGATCGCATTAAAAACACTATCCCAGCTTCCAAACCAGTAAGAAAAAGTTTTTGTCTACCTCTTGATCAAAATTAGCGATTTTGCAGGTGGGTGGGGTGGGCAATAATTAAATTTCCATGTCAAAGAGCATCAAAAGAATTACTTGGCATTTCTTAAGAGTTGAGTCTTGATGTTCCTGATGTTTCTTCAAAAGTAAGCTATCGTGTTCCTGCTTTCTGCTTACAATATAATCACAAATTATCACTATTATGCTACCTCGGTGAATAAATTTTAGAATTTTGAGTTGTTTCTAACATTGTTCAATTTCTTGTCCGATATTCTTGCCAGATGAACGCAAGCAACGAGTCTTCTTTTTTCATAGAGAAAAAGCCACTGGAATATAACTTGAGCACTATACACTACAGCTTTCGTTCGTGCTAGTATAATTGATGGTTATTAGTCATTTGAATTATAATGAGAATAAAAAATAGGGCAAATATTAATGTTGCCAAGGCGTTAATTTTTCAACAACTTGTCATAGTTATTTTTTACATTTTGACAATAAGATTTATGAGAGCTGGAGATGGGCACCAGTATAGGGTGAATTATGATAAAGAAGGCGTTTCATGGTAAACAAAGAGGCGGCGACTGCTTTGTGACCCTTATTAGTCTAATGCACAAATCGATAATAAAAATATCATTTGACATATTTGAGTCAACAATATGTGTGGCCAAAGCTTTAGTCAATATGATCACACTTGTATTAATTCAATGTATATTTCTTAATCGTGAAATTAAACATAAAGCTTAATTTTTGTGAAAAATTCGTCTTAATATATTTATTCACGTTTCCTGTGCTCTTCACGAATTAATTCGTTTTTCAGGAAGGTTTAAAAACTGTTCATCTTACAAGTTAGTCTTCAGGTTCAATACTCAGGATAAACTTACCGCCACGTGTTCACCCTGGGTAACGTATATTCATACGGCAAAAAAGTCTATAAACCGCCAGCTGACTTCAAACTACAATAACCCGACTGTACTCACCACACCTTTTTCTCTGTTTTGTCTATTTCTTTTACATCTTTGAATAATTCTTCTGTCCCCCCTCTCAACTTGTGTGACTTTGATGTTCCTCCCCTCTGTGAAACCCGAAGTCAACTAAAGGGCTAATGATACGTATCATAAAGCCCGCCATTTGAAATAAATAAATTGTCTAAATCTCTCATCTTTTACAATACTATGCCGCCACCTTTAGAAGCCCGATACCTCAGTCTCGCAGTAGAGATGAGAGAGAATTTTCAAAAGTCAGTTATGTATTTGAAAAAAACATTAATAATGACCTTGAAATATACAAACGGACCGAGAGTATAAGTATAAAGGAAAGATGATAGACATAAATTGATACTATCACCCACAAAAAACACAAAAAATCTTGCATTTTAACCGCAGGAGGGAAGAGCTAAACACCATAACTTCAATACAATTTAGTGATAAATTTGAATAGCGGGGGGGGGGGTTCAACTAGAGAGCAAGAGACTAACTTTCTTTGATATTTGGCGTAGGATTGGATAATATCCACTTAGTGGTAGCTCACCTTTTCTTCCTGTCCCCTCTCCGCGTTGCAGTATATGCCTGTCTGCGATGTTCAGCTCTTATTGACCGCTGTTTCTAATTTATTGTTTTTCCAAAGTTTGAGAAGGTCAATAACCTGACAGTTCATAATGTTACCATGAGGCAGAGTAGATAGCAAATATGGTAATACAATTTCCTTATTGGAAATGTTTAATAACACATTTTTCTCCGTCACTTCATATTAACACATTTACTTGCAGCCTGATCATAGTATACAAATTCAGATCGATTCTTAATCTGGGAATGTATGCTACAACTTGGAATTATGCATTATTTTACAAGGCATTAACGCTGCTCTCTCTCTCCCCCCACTCTAGCTGAGCCATTATATCACCTTTATGTGTGGGAAAAAATTAACAAAAAGGAACTACAAACTAACGCTCACGCACACATATTATTGAATGAAGATGGAGCACAGGAATCACTTGGTTTACATTTATCAGAGTCAAGTCCTGACGACGTTAGGGACACATTTGGAAAGGGAGAGCAATACAATATTTCAGGATGTTTCGTCAGATTTGGCATTACAGACGTAGCTAGTCCACGAATAAATGCGGCTGTAGCGAAGGGAGACAGATAGAGAGAGAGAGAGG